TCTCTGTCCCTCCCCCGCTCAGGCTCTGGCTCTCTCTGTCTCTCAAAAAAAAAAAAAAAGTTTAAAAAGATTGTAGAATCTCTTTAGTCTTCGCCGATAATAAAATATAAGAGGAGAGAAAGTACAAGTTGAAATTGATCAAAATTAATATAAAGTAAATTTGAAATTTGCTAACAGGAATTCTGCCAATATGGAATATCAAAAGCGGCTAATATTACACCAAAAGCATGAACACGTTCATACATTGTAACAAAACTATTATTTCATTATCTTATATGGCTACATTTTTTTCCTTTCTGGACACATTCAGTGCAGGTTAATCTTAGGATTCACTTATAGTACTGGAACACAGCTCAGCTGTATTGTGTAAGTGTCCCAGTATTTTTCTGTAACAAAGAAAGCTGACATTGGCATTTTTTTTGGTCTTAGTATCTAGGAAAATCCTCATTCTTGTACAAACTGAAAGTTAACTGTGTTCATGTGCACATAAAAATGGGGCTGCTTGAGAGGGACTGTCCATTGTGTATAAAGTATATTATTTGGGTTACAAATAAAAATTTGCAATATCATGATCTCCGAATAAGATAGATTGAAAAGTCAGGAAATAATAACAAGAACAGAAGAGACCCCTGGAGTTTGGAATTTTCCATTTCCCTTTTGTGTTTCTCAATCATGGGCAATTAGTAAGTTTCAAAACCGGTGGTAAAAGAATCAGGTGTAGATTTGTTCGCCATTGGCAGTGAGACCCACATCACACAGTTTAAAATACCCGAGAGTGTTGTGCCTACAAAGTGGTAACAGTGGAGAAAATGTTTACTTGCTTTTTTTTTTTCTTTCCTTGCACTCAGAACTAGCTGCCTTTACAATGATCCAGAAATGTCTTCTATGGAGAAGGAGTAAGAACTCACCATCAATAACAGCTATGTGGTTACTTGTAGTATTGTATGGCTGGGCTCTGAAAAAAAAAAAAAATGCATCAAGGACTGGGTAAACTCTGTTTAGATGTTCGGCTTTCATGTTCTCTGTTTCTCAAATCAGAAACTTAAAGAGAAGTGTGCCGGCTTCGCACTGTCTCTTTCATGATCACTATTACATTCCTTAAGGACAGCTGAAGTCTATTTGGCATTCTGTTTTCCAATCCAAAAATGAGCAGAAAAATGAATATTAGAGCCAGATGTTAAGAGCATTTGGGCAACTCTGCTTTCTAAGTTACTTCATCTATTTTCATTAGTGAAAGTTGGGACTTCCATTTGAACTTCGTATCTTAGTAGATGGGGGAGAAAAGTGTCCTTGTTTTGAAAATTCCAAGAGGCAACAGAGTCTGGATGGGACTTTAGGAATGATCTAGTCCATCTGACCTCATCCTGTGACAAATAGAAATCAAACACCTAGTGAGGGCTCACCATGTGCCAGGTTCTGTGGGAAAAGCCTCATGCACATTATCTGAGTTTTATCCTCAGAATAATCCCACGAGGTACATGTTGCAAGTATGGAAAGAGTGGCATAGAGAGATTGTCTGACCGGTCCAATGTTTTATAGCGGTAAAAATGTCCCAGGGCTGGGCTTTGATTCTGCATGCAGACCCAGTGGTTCTGAAAGCAGAGATGGTCATAATTCTGGAATGGGTGTGCAGCCCCTAACTTTGGTTAGACCAGAAAAGGACACACTGAGGTGCTTCAGAGAATGGAGTTGACTATTGGCCAAGTCCCTTTCAGGGAATGAAGTGTGGCCGCCAACGTGCTCTCAGAGGAAACCCGGCGATCCTGTTAAGGGCTCCTCATCTGATCTGAGCTGTGGCGAATTTAACACTGCCCTTCCCAGGAACCCAGGAGGGACAGAGATCGGATTTGCATGTCTCAGCTATTGTCACGTTTTGTTCTCTTTGGACCTCCTTTCCCTCAAGGTCCAAAGCCAGGATGGAAAAACCGTAATGCCACAGCTGGGTAGCCGCCACGTTGACCTTGTAGTTTAAAGTTGGTGGACAAAAACCCCAGAGAGAAGGTCCCCGCTAAGGAGGAAAGAACAAACGTTGTAAGGAGACCTTTGAATTCACACAGCTATTTTTCAGGAGGTGACGCGTGCCCCGCCTCTTTGAGATGAAGACAGTTGCTTCAAGCACATTGCCGAGCAAACATTCTGCAGGGCAAAGAGGAGTCCCTGAAGCCACTTCCATTCTTTGCGCAAAATTTCCCCTCTGCAAAACAGCGCCCCCTACAGCAGAGTCCCGGGCCTGCAGTTAACGAGCAGCGGGGCGTGACTGTCACTCACTGGCCTATGGCTGCCACATCTGCGGGCTTACCCACTCCTTTGGCTGTCCTGTTGGGCTCCTTGTTTGTACGGAGGGGCTGATCGGGTTGGGGAGAGGGCAAACAAGAGGGCACTGCTCCTTGTTTGCGTTCATTCCAGGGCTGGGCGTGGAGGAGGGAGGCTGCTACCAAGGTTGACGTTCCTTCCCTTAGAACATATTCTTCTCCACGCTTCCGTCTTCTTCAGCCCGGCCTTTCCCAGGCACGTGATCTCAGCGCAAAGGATGAGATCCAAGCCGAGGGCCCAGAGTGGCCAAGGAGTTCTTAGGCTGACCTCTAGCCCTGGCTTTCTGGCTTTCGTTAGTATCAGAATAAGGGGCTTTATTTACCTTTTTTCTGGCTCCTGCCTGGAAGCATTTTACACCTTCCGTAGCTAGTATCGAATGGAGAACCTGAAGAAGAAGCAAAGGCTGTTTTTCAAGGAGCTCAGGCAAGCCAAGAATGAAATGAAATGAAATGTGCCCCTCTCCTTTTCCTTAGAGAAAGAAAGGAAAGTTATGCCCCCCGCCCCCCTCTTCCTATATAAAACACAAGAGTTTATTTATCACTAAACAATATTCTCAGATACTTTGTAAGGAAACTCATTTAACATATGTGAGAAGCCGAAATGGCCTAGGGTAAAATTATCAGAAGGTTTCTCGCGGGAAAGCTGGTTAGAGAAAACCAAGCCCCTCTGCCCAAAGGTCAGAAATAATCCTTTTGTATTTCAGTTCTGATTAAAAGTAAGTTGTTTGTTTTCTTTTTTCCCCGAAAAAGCATACTGTTTTCAAAAGTGTCCCCAGATGCTTGTCTCCAAACTTCCAAGTTTGGACTTTATTTGTTCATTCATGTCCTAAGACTTGCATATGCTTTTAAAATATTTTTACATAAATAGTGTACCTGATCCAAGGGAGGTGGTACTTACTAGGGGAGACTTTAATTAGTAGCACTGTTGGTCACTTTACTGTCCCCACAAGATAACTGTTGTCTCAAAAATTAAACTTCAGTGGGGTTTCCTGTATTAAGAATCATCCACTTTTGACTATATCTTCTTCAATAAACCACATAAATAGGTTTCCATGTTTCAGCTTTTTGTTTACCAAAAGCTGAAGGGAAAAATGAAGCCCTAGAAAGTTTACCAAAAAGTCAGTATGGGGGCGCCTAGCTGGTTCAGTTGGTGAAGAGTGCAACTCTTGATCTTGGGGTTGTGAGTTCAAGCCCCACGTTGGGTGTAGAGATTACTTAAAAATAAAATCTTTCGGGGTGCCTGGGTGGCTCAGTCAAACGTCCGACTTCGGCTCAGGTCATGAGCTCACGGTTCGTGGGTTCAAGCCTCGCGTCGGGCTCTGTGCTGACAGCTCAGAGCCTGGAACCTACTTGGATTCTGTGTCTCCCTCTCTCTGTCTCTGCCCCTCCCTGGATCACCCTCTGTCTCTCTCTGTCTCTCGAAATATTTAAAAAAAAAATTAATAAAAATAAATCTTTAAAAAAGTATGAAAAATGAGGTGCTTCAGAACGGGCATCCTGGTGTAAAGGGTTTTGTTTGTTCGTTTTTTCAGATTTTTATCAGGGTTCATTTAAAAAAGATCCTGAGGTGCTCACAACTGAAAACACTTGAGACTTAATCCTTAGCAAGCCTCGAGAGAGAGACAGGATTGATGATCTATTTCACGGATACAGAAATGGAAAGTTAGGCAAGGCAGGTGACTGGCCCAAAGCCCCAAGCTAATAAGTGGCAGAATTGAGCGAATGTGAAAGGAAAGCTTTCTTTACTCCTGTAAACTCGATGGGCAGGCACACGGGTTACCAATGGCTTTATTTACAAAGCTGCTCGAAGGATCCCCCACCCACCCCCAGCTGCTGCACATCCCACAAGCAAACCACAGTCCCCGTGCAGTGTGCGGAGGGTGGGGCCGGGAGGGCAGGTCTCATTGAAATCCACAGATGCCTCCCAAATGGCCTTTTTCAAACAGTGTTTTCATTTGTTCCTGGCTGAAATTCTTCTTTTGAACATACAGACTGGAACGCTGGTCAGATGGGTGTCAGAAAGTTGTGCTAGGTTCACTAAGAGGCAGAAGAGAGGAACCAGTGGAGCGGGGAGGTTTGGGAATTATTTTCTAGGTAGTTTTGGGAACCCACTAGACCTTAAGAACAACCTTGTCTTAGGTTATAAGAATCCATTGCGTTCAGGTGGACTGACCCCTGTCATGCATATTCTTGGACTCTCGCAACTCTTGTGGGTTCCTTTGGGAGAGGGGGGTAGTTTTTCTATTTCATTGTTGCCTTGTATGTGGCATTTATCAGATTACTGATTTCAGGCAGATCATGTATTCGCCCCACAAGGGAAGGTCATTGACTAGAAACAGGTAGCCCCCTCCTTCCCAGAATGCAACAGGGTTCCTTAATCTACTTCAGCAAAGAGCCCTCACACCCGTCTTTTGCCTCCCTAGATCATTTTGAGAGGCGTAAAATGCTTCCAGAAACAGTTTCGTAAAAATAAAGAAAAATTCCACATTTTAGAGAAAGCCTTGGTCATGAGGGAGGGTTGGGTTTTACTGGGTTTTTTTTCTAGCATAAGAAACTTGCATGAGCTCTTTTCAGTAAGTCCTTGGAGGAAAAAAAAAAAAAGCAAAGCACACGCCACCCCCAGCGATCACCAAATGCTTCCTATTCAATTTCTAGTGTTTCTCATTGCGTTCTTCCTTTTTTTCTAAGTATTGACCTGAAGCTGAAAGGAAAGCCCTAGTCCCGTCCGGCTGGAAGAAAAGGATGTTCTGCTTCCTGATTCTGCTGAAACATACCCACCTGGAAGAGACAGGGCGGATGGTACTTTTTTTTTCCACTTTGCACTACCTGGTGCCATTCTAAATTTCTAAGGGGAAACACAGTAAGGGAACTTGTTTACTCTTCACGTGTTTTATGAAATTGCGTGTCCTTTTCCTATTTTGCCAATTACGTGCCTCGAAGATTTTGGTTGAACCTTAGCAAGAAAATAGGACCTTCCGTCTCTATATTTGGTTACCCCTTGGTGCCGTGATATCTCCTCTCTTAGACTGGTGTTGACCAGTGAGATACCCTCGGTCCGCTGTTCGTCGCGAGTGGATTTGTTGGCCATAGATTAGCGGGATTTCTCCTTGGTGACCATTTCAGGTTTAAAACACAGGGGGCTCGACTCTCCCTAGGCGAGTTACCTTCCTGTAGCTCTGCTTTTCAAACCCTAAGCTTCCTGGGCACAGTTGGAAAGCAGACCCCGGTGGAAAGCTGTCATCGGCCATGTGCCCGCTTGGTTCTTGTCCACGTGAATCCTCTCTTAGGTCTCAAAGGGAAGCCAGACTTTCTCATTCACCTCAGTTTTATTTTGGTTCTCAAATTGGGTATCATGTTGTCTGTGAGTGGTCTCTTTAAAAATCGTTATTCCTCCAATGAATGCTGGAAATTCATTACCCGGCCACGCTCAGCTATCTAAATGCCTCTCTCAAAAAGTAGTCTGCTTTAAGTCACTTTAATCTGGTCACTTCAGTCACCTCCCTTTAATCGCATTTCATTTAAATTGAATATGACCGTGTACTATCATTTGCAAAATTTCTCCGTGGAGTCTTCGCATGCCCTTTCAAAGGCCACACGTGGCCTCGAATCCGTGGGCCTCCACGGGTGGCCAGACTTAGCATGCCGCCTGTTTTCACGTGGCCTTCCTGTGAAGGATGGCTTTCCCATTTGGGCTGAAAAAAAAAAAGTTGTTGTTGTTTTAAATATTTCGTGACACCTGAAAAATCATTCACATTTCGGTACCCATAAATGTCTTACTGAAACATGGCCACACAAATTTGTTTACAGACTCTCTGTGGCTGCTTTTGCACTACAGCAGCAGAGTTGAACAGTTCAGACCACGTGGCCTACAAAGCCTAAAATATTTACTGTGTGTGTGGAACAAGTTTACTGGGCCGTCCCTGCTCCTGCTCACCTATTCTTCACCGCCCCCCTCCCGCCTCCCCCGCATTTGGATTTGAATATGCGTTTCTTCGGCAGAATGTATAAATAAGCCTGCAAACTAATTTATTCTTTAAAAAGAAAATGTTGGCCTCCGGAGTCCGTAAAATAAATGGCCTGCTGAGAAAAGACGGGGAGTCCCGGCCACAAAAGCATGGCTCACGGTATGTTTACGTGACTCAAAGGGAAGCCCGCTGAGAAGGCTTTGGGCTATTTACAGGTGTTGCCAAGGTCCTGCCCTTACTCTGGGAACCATTGTTACTCTCTGGTATCACCCGTCGCTAGTAAGCTAGCAACACTAAGAATGGAGTGGAGAGCGGGGTTCCACCATAGACTTAGGGTGATAACCGCATCCAGGAGAACTGTCTGGGGCGCCCTGAGCCCTGGATCTCATGAGCTTTGAAACACTTGGAGGTAGACATCTTTGTACAGGTGACCGTATTTTGCTGACCTCCTTCACTTCGTGACATCTCCCACCCACCTTCCAGACATGTTCTCATACACACGGGTCAGCTCTCTTTCCTCCATGAGCCATAGTTCACTGAGTTCCCCCCTCTGTGTCCCTCTCAGCTGAGCGTCTTGTCCAACTGTGTTCTCTTGGGTCACCTCCCTCCTAACCTCTGTCCTGTCCAATAGAAAAACCCTAAAACATGCCCTGTCTCTGAGGCCAGCTCCACTTTTGGAAGCCCAAATTAGGCCTCTCCCAGAGCTTAGTGTTGACATAAGACCGGTGACCTAATATTCAGTTGGTTCACCCATTGACCACTGTGGCTCTGGCACAGTTATTAACAATGCTCCCTTTTGCTCAGCCGTGGTCCCGTTTTGGAAGACGAATTACGTGGTACCCCCCGCCCCAGCCACAGGAAGGAATGAAGAAATCAGTGTTGTGTTTAGTGGTGCAAGCCTAAGGATAGAGCCAACCACACACAGCAAGAATTTCACCAGTCACGTTTCCCTTGAGCTTGTCTGGCCCGTTCATGGAAAACTACTCAGGTGGTGTTCTGTCTGAGGCGTCATCTTCCTCCCTGGAAATTATGACCATCGTCCGCAGTCACTGATTTTGTTTGGGCTGATCTATGGGCTGCATAGCCATTCTGATAGGCATCTGCTATTTTATTATCTTAAGACCATTTAATTGCACGTGCTAGAGAAAAGCCACTATGTAAATTGAATCCAAGTAAATAGAATTCTAGAAGAATCCTGAAAAAAAAAAAAAAAAAACCATCATCCCTAAGCAGATAGGTAGACAGATGTAAACATTCACATCAGTAGCTATCTAGCCCTTGCATTCTAAGCGTTCTGCTTTGGTTCTGACTTCTGGGAACTGTTTTACACTTTTCCTGTCACTTTGTCGTTTAGGGAACCAAAGGGTCCCAGGGCAAAAGTATTGTTCTCCCAAAGTGGCACTACTCTTTGCTTTGTTCCTTGATTAAGAAAGAGAACATAAACCTGCACTGAAGTTTCTGTCAAGGAGTGAGGAAGTTTGTTTCGTGGCAATGAACAGCTGGTTGTGGAAGAAAATCCTGAGGTTCCCATTGAAGCCATACAATGTTTTATGGGGTTACCCTCTAAGATACACTCCGACATGTGTGAGGAAGTCACTACTCTGAGCTTTTGTGTTGTTAAAATCTCATTTTAAGTATTTGGTTTTGGTACTGCGTTTGCAACTCCTCTAATCACAATGCCTCAGTAGTTCGCTCCCTTGGAAACATTTAGATGTGCACAAATTAATCTTTTATATATTTGAAAGTTTTTCTACCATGTATTGGATTGCTCAGAATAAAGTATCTATTAGACTTTGTTTTGGTAAATAACTAAATGATTTCTCCCTAAATAGCGTGGATCAATAATATAAAGATGTAACAACACCATATAAAAAAAATATATATATATATAGCCTCTCTGTATAATTCAGAAATAAAAATTGATTCCACAAGTTATGGACTTTCTTGTTCTCTGTTTGTTGAGAATCTTTCCCTAGCTTCACTTGTGCAGAAGACTTCGGTGACTATCTGTAGCCCGGCCCTTGGCACTCATTTTGGCTTTCTGGTCACCCAAATAGATTCCCTTTTCATCTTTTTGCCTTCCATGCCTCAATGACAAAACCTTTCAAAATGTGTTGTTTAGCCTCTGGGGAAGCAGTGTCTCCCATTGGAGGCATCTCCATGTTTCACAGTTACTTGATTTTTGAAAAAAAATTTTTGTTAGTGTGACAGTTACTTGATTTTTGTCAACTTCTCCTTTCTCTGCCCTTTTGCCTTTTTGCCTTTAACACCAAAATGCATTAATAGCATTTTCCTTTTAGTTTGGGGTCCCCCTCCCACTTCCACTTTTACAGCCTTCAGGCAAAACCAGACTTGGGAATTAACCACTGTGCTTAAAAAAGAGAGAGAGAGAGAGAGAGAGAATCTAATAAGCAAATCTGTGCCTCTCCGAAAGTGGTGGGAGTAATCAAACGAGAAGCTGTTCTACAGAAAGTGAGACCTTGCATGTTTTCATGATCTATGACTGAGTCCTCGTGGGTATTGTCCTCTGCCCAAAGAAGGTAAGGAGGACAGGAGGAGACTGAGAAGTGATTATGGTCAAATGAAGTCCATGATACTGCAACGTAAACTGTTCCGTGCATTCTCCCCCCTTTCCCTGCTGTGGTGGTGGGAACTGGGGGCAGGCTAGGAGTCCAGCACTGGGGGAGAAGATGGGTAGAATGTGGTAGAAACACCCAGTGGCAGATTATACAGCTGTTAGAAGTAACCGACTAGGGGAGCCTGGCTGGCTTAGTCGGTAGAGCATGTGATTCTTGATCTCTGGGCTGTGAGTTCAAGCCCTGCGTTGGGTATAGAGATTGCTTAAAAAGATAACTTTGTTTTTGCTTTTTAACATTCATTTTTGAAGGAGAGAGAGAGAGCATGTGAGCGAGAGAGCAGGGGAGGGGCAGAAAGAAACAGAGAGACAGAATCTGAAATAGGCTCCAGGCTCTGAGCTGTCCGCACAGAGCCTGACACAGGATCCGAACTCAAGAACCACGAGATCATGACCCGTGCCAAAGTTGGACGCTTAACGGACTGAACCACCCAGGTGCCCCTTAGAAAGAAAATCTTAAAAAAAAAAAAAAAAAAAGGCAACAAACTACGCATTCATAAGAGCATCACTTACAGGGTAGAGTGGAAAAGAAAAACAATAAAACTTCGGGTCATTTATGTAATGTCTAAACCTATACATGGAGACACCAATGCTCCATATTATACAAAATCCATGCATATATAAGGGTTTAGCACACTCATTAGTTACAGGAAGGGGCAGGAGTAGGGATCCAGGATGAAATTGGGAGCCAATTGGAAAAACCACAATCAAAAAGAATATGGGTTGAAGTTGAAGGAAAATAAAGATCTGTTCCACTTTCGGCCATAGATCCTGGAAAAGCTGTGTCCGGGCACTCCGCGTCTCCCAAAGGGCTGTTTCCTCCGCAGCTTCTGTCGTTGCGCCATTTCTCTGTGTTGGCAGCATCGGTGGGCGGCGTCTTGCAAAAAGCCACCCTGGGTTCCGTTCACCCAGGACAGTCACGAAGGGTTCAATTAAGCTGGAGCTTTTTCGTCGTACATACCGAACTTCACGCTGCTGTGGGCTCCCCAGAGCAAAGGGGTTGCTTTATGAGGCTCATTTTCCTCTAGAGGTGCACTCACATTCAGGCAAAATAGCTCCCTTTGACCAGGAAAAATTACCGCTTTTCGATACGTGACCATTTGAATGATAACTTAGATGGCAGACACTAATCACTTAGCCCCTGGAAGAGGCTTGGACCCTCGATGCTTGATCATACCCTCCTTATAAAAGCCTCCCTCCTTAGATTGGCGAACTTCCTGTTTCCCCT